CCACTGTGTGCGCGCCTTCCTGCAAGTCACACAACATTGCGCCAAGAGACAAGTGAGTTAACTGTTCCTTAAATCCATCAAGTTGTTTTAGGTCGTCACATAATAACAGCTTCTACTTTTCTATCTTTTGTAGATTCTGTCCCTGGGTGCCGGGTTCGACTCGCTGTATTTCCGTCTTTATGGCGACGCGGCACTCAACAAGGCCGTTGTGTTTGAAGTAGACTTTCCAGAGGTGACCCGGCGGAAGGCGGCTCTGATTCAATCAAGTGTGTCGTTGTCGGAAATGTTGGACTCCCAGCATTCTCTTTGTTTGACAGGTGAAATACTACATTGATCTAGGAACGTTATATATCGTGTGCTAGACAGCTGATCATATGTGTCCGTAGGGCCTGTGTACGTCTCTAGCAGTCAATACTTCCTGCTAGGGGTGGATGTGAGACATGAATCCCATGTAGAAGAAGCTCTGGTAAAGGCGGGACTGGATCCAACTGCCCCCACTCTGATTCTTTCCGAAGTGGTGCTGACCTACATGGAAACACAATGGTGAACATCACAAATAATGCATTTTGATTTTGAGAACTTTACCCCAGAGCTAGGAACTTTTTGGAGATCTGTTAGCTGCATTTGCAACTAAAGGTCCATGGAATTTTAGTTTGTGGTGCTTTTGGTTCCAAGAACTAAAAGCTTCCAATCAGGCAAAAGTTCTGTCATGGAGTTCCCGCTTTAAATTATTCTGAACCTCTCAAAATTAACCCTCTTGTATTGACCCTGATAAATAACCCTGGAACAAAATTCAGACAATCGTACGGCAACTTTAGCCTGGAGGTAAGAACTCCATGTGGACCAATATGTGTTTGACTTGCAGGAATTCTTGTATACATTTAGTAAGACTTGAGAGAAGCCCAAGTATGGGTTTGCATTACTGAACCTATCTGAATGGAAAGTGAAAAAAGATCCAGGAACTTTCAATGGAAATGCAGGTCTTCAAAATATTCTTAGTTTGCATGGTTCAAATGTGCTAACTTCTGTTTGGACTTCAGGAACAATTTTTGGCCTAAGGGTTATTCCTCAGGGCTCAAAAGAAGACCCAGTCATAGCGTCATACTTTTGACGTCCATTTGTGGCCATCGTAATTCATGAACATTATGTTCCTCCAGGTCAGATGACATCATCAAATGGGCAGCGAGGCTCTTGCCCCAGTCTCTCTTTGTCATGTACGAGCAGATCCATCCCCAAGATCCATTTGGTCGCATCATGCAGGAGCATTTCCTGAAACTGAATTCCACTTTGCACGCGCTCCGACAATATCCCGACACCGATGCACAAAGGCAGAGATTCCTTGACAAGGCCAGTATTTGCGAAATTGCGATAGCTTAATTACCATATTCCCCTGAAAAATGGCAGCATTGACACATTTATTGACTCAAATGCAGATGGA